GAGCCAGCGACGATTTATACGGGGCCACCCGTTATAAGGGTGACCCTGGCCAGCGTGGAGGAGACCTCGACGTTGCTCAGCCGTGGTCTGGATTTTTATGGGGCCACATATTTCCCCACCGAAACGCCCCATCCGGCTGCTCAACCCCTGGCCAAATACAAAAACAACAGGTGGGAAACGAATGTGCGCGCTTGCATATGCCCCCGATACCGCTCATCCCCTCCCTCCCTCCCCTATTGAAATCAATTTCAATTTATCGGGTTCGCCGATTTACATCCCCTATTCCCGCTCCTCCTCCTCCTCCTCCCCCTCCTTTTCCCTGATCAACTTTTATTTTTGCGTCGGTGCTTTTAATTGGCTATTTGACCCGTTGTGTGTTAACCCCCCCCGCGAATGATATCTATGTATCTCTCTCTCTTTCTCTCTCTCTTTCTCTCTCTCTCTGCTGTTTTCAATTTGTATTTGACATTTTTCTTTCTTTTTTTTTTTTGGATTAATGAAATATTATTAGTTTCGTGATTAACGGATTTTTATCCGAATTTCTGGATGTGTAAATTGGAGAAGGTAAAAATTTAAGGAATAAGTAAATATCGGATTAAAATTAAAGGGAAAACACGTGTAATTAAATTCAATTCTTCGAAAAGACGTACGTGTAGAAAAATTCTTGGAAATTTGAAGTTGGTTGAAAATTTATGAAATCACAGCTTTGTCCGCACAATTCTTCGAACACGATACGTTATTATTCCCATGTAAACGCTCGGGTTGAAAAGAGGGTTAAATTTCGACGGGACGGGGCAAGTTTAGACTGTCCGTTTCCCCGGCGCGATACAGCTGCCGCTTTGTCGCTTTTCACGGTGGAAACAAGCGCAGATTTCGATGCCGCGGTATTTTCGTCGTTTCCAATTTACGGTGTTCACAATTGAATAGGTAAAGCGCGGCTTTTATGATTCCATAAGCGCGACGCGTGTTCCATTCCGGCCGATACGGTCCCCTATTTTCCCACCGTGCTAATAATCCCGTGGCCCGATAAACGGGCTAAACCCGCTGAACAACGCCAGCGTTCCAAGTATTGTCGTCTTTGATGGAACGCACCAGAGTCGATAATTGACGTTTCACGGATCAACGTCTGCCATTTCCATGCATCAAGCTCGGTTTAATTGGTGAGAGGATTTTAATGTTGATTACGTTGCTCGGTGGGACGATTGATTCGATTGTTCGAGAATAATAAATTACCCTTTCAGATATATATATATATATATATATTTTATAATCTTTTTTAATCCCTTTGTTTTTTTTCTCTCTTTTGTTATTCGTGGATTGGAAAGTAGTGGCCAGCTTTTGATTGTTGCGATGTTTCGATAGAAGAGAATTAGAAAGGAGGTGATAAGAAGATTAGGTCTCTTTATTCCTAGCATTGTTACGTATTATTTGAGTATCTTCTTTTTGATTTTTCGATTCCCAATCTGTTGTTTCACTCGAATACGAAAAAAAACTTTGGATCTGATTAAATGAATTAAGATATAAAGTTTGTGAAACTGTTTTTTTAAACAATTTTAAATTTAAGTCTCTTTTAGGATATATATTTAAGACTTTTTTGCTTTAATTTTTAATCCAACCTAACTTAACCTAATCACTCCACTTTTTTAATTTAATTTCTACTAAAGATCTAGCTTTCTCTTAGACACGCACGACACATTAATTAATTAACCGAGGTAAAGCCACTCAATGGCCCAATTTACACATCGCAATTCCTAGCACGAAAGCAGTACTTTTGCTGTTCGAACAAGTAACAAGAATGGGGATAGAAAGGGATGTTCATTTTTCAAAGCACGCCATCGTTTCAGATGGCTCGAGTTGGCAGCCATCGGCGCTGGACAAAAAGTCAGGGACCTACTTCCGGTCTTCGACAACGCGGGCTTCAACAAATTACCACCCCCGGCCAGTCGGATGATAAAACCGCAAAAAAACTGACGTTTCCCTCGACTTCTTTCATCCCTACTTCGATATTCCGCAGGATTTCTGTGTTTGAACACCTCCAGCCTCGAGTTTCATCACACTTCAGACTGGAGATCGATTTCAGGGGATTAAGAATGGTTTTTACCGAAATTTCCAACCGAAAATTATTTGTTGTTGATGATGATGACGACATAGTCGAAAAGTTGGTGCAACATTTTTGTTAATTTAATCCTTTCGCGGTATAGTGAAATAGTATAATGAAACGAAGTATATGAATTAATTTATTTTAAAGTTGAGCGAAGAAAGTTTGTAATTTGTCATAGAAATAATTGCAGTTTTTTAATTAAATTATTCTTTCATGTTTGATAAGTTTAAGAATAATTACATTATGGGATTAAAACATTATATAATGTTAATTATAATACGATGAGGAGAATTATAATACTGTATTTTATGGGTTGCCCAAGTTTCTCTTGTACTGTACTGTGAAAGGGTTAATAACCAGCTTGTCGGGTTAACTCAGTAATGTACCAGGTAGAACGATCTCTGTGAGAGATTCTTTTAAAAAGAATTTGGGAAATTGGTTTTAGCACTTACCCCTTTCGTTGCTGGTGAAACTTGAGAGAATGTGATTATAAGTCTTGAAGAAAATATAGATCCTGTAAAATAATTAAAAAAAAAAAAAATAAATAATAATTAAAATAATAAATAAAAATAAAAATTGATAAAAGAAATTAATCGAATCAGATATATTGTTGTTATCATTATTTTTAATTTTTTTTAATTTTGGAAATTTTTATCAGAATTATAATAAATCGATGCAATAAAAGTTTATTATATCGATTGTTTTAATGCTGAAAGAAGGAATAAGACAATTAAGATAATATTTGTATGATAGAATAAAAATGATAAGTATTTTTGTAATAATATATTAATATTTACAGAGATAATTCTACCTGGCTTCGAACTTTGTACGAAAAATGTTCCTATTTATTTTTTCCATTTGTGTGCAAGAATAATATTTAATAACGAATCGCTGTTCCTATTTAAACTACATATTATCGATTTGTAAAAATTTAAAGAAACTAAAAAATTCGTATATCGGAAGTAATATTCGAATATAATATTGTCTAACATTTAATATATGTTACTGTTGCTAAAAATGCTTCTATATTTTACGATACATTTGAATTAAATTAATATTTTTAACAAAAACGATTTAATTTTTTCGATGTATTAACACGAATAATTGTATGGAATATAAAAAATATTCTGACATAAAGATTAAAATTCTAAACACAGAGGAGGCATTATATTTAATTATAACCTGAACAATCATACCATAGTACCGATTATACCGCTAGGCGGCTCCGAGCACGAACGCGATTCTCGTTAGCAATATTTGCAATATAAGATATAACCATCGAGCCGAGGAAGTGAGTCACCGTTTTTCCCATAATGGGAAATGGGTTCTGTCTTTATTTTGGTACTTTTGGCACTTCTATGCGACTTTCCTCTTACTATAAACTTTTTTCATTACTATAATACTATCCTTAGCACATTGTTTATCGTTATTTATTAAATTATCAAGTTTTAATTATTAGATATTTATATTATTTATTTACGAATAATAATATATATTTTAGAATAAATTAAATAATAATTAGAAACGTGAAGTGTCAGAATAATCTTAATTATAAAATGATCACGAATCGTAGAGTCGCAAGACGATTGAGTTCGATATTACATTTTAAAACCAATTAAAGAGAAAGATACTTAAGAAAAAGAATTACTATAAAGTATTATGAATGCTAAAAACAAAAGAAATCATCTAGTGATTATAAAATAAAAAAAAAAAACAAAGAAAGAAAAGAAAACAAAAGGGGGAACGATAGAAAGAAAACGTGACAGATCCATTAAAGCTAAGAAGCTAAGGAGATAGAGAAAAATCCGCGGAGGGTAGAAAAAAAGGAAAAAAATGGAGGGGAAAAAAGAACGGCAGCAGTATCAGGAACAAAAGGAAAGGAGTGGCTACGGAAGTGTAGAACAGCTGGCGCGAGTGGTTGACGGAGCACAATAACGATAAATGTAAAGTTTGCGTACGCATCGTTAGTACCATTTCCAGGCTTGCAATAATCGTTGCTGCCAGAGAGAATACGACCTCGCTCTTGGGGCTTACTAACTACTAATTGTTACCAACTTAGCGAAACGAAGGATCCCACGTCCGCGTGCGGCAAACTCTTCGCGCGTTACTTCCCCAGATTAAAGAAATTTAACGTCCATGCCCTCGAGACAAAATGTCTCGGGTTTACGTTAAATTCTACGGTAGTACAGGTGTGCTGCGAGAGAACGCGCACGATAATAATAATAATTGTTGTGCACGCCTCGTAATAATACGTCGAAATTCGTGATTATGTTTTACTCGAGTTCGTATATTCTAACTTTATACATAATGAATTTGAAATGTTTTTAACGTAAATATGTTATTCAATTTATGTTATATATATATATCGAGAGTTGGGGAAAATTCTTCTCGATAGAGATAGATTTTTTCATGCATTTTGAAGATACTGTGCACGATTACAAGAGATGATTAGAGAAAGACAAGAGAAATTTTTTCGAAAGTCATTTGTGCAAGGACGGAATTAGTGAAATTAGTAAGTTTTTAACAGATCCATTCGTGATCGAATGATATAATAATTGCTTAAGTACTCGTTAAGTGACGAACTTGTTCGAGTATCGCAAATTCGAATGAGAAAGTGACTCGATTATATACGTTAAGTAATATTGCGTTAATCTTCTGTTTGCGGTGTTATGCTAAACCCTTCAAAGTATTAAAACTGACTTTCCCCTCGGGGAAAGCTTCCTCTACCCGCGTAATTCTATCCTGTTTCAGGATTGCAGTTCTATAGCCCCAATGATTCTACTACTACTAATAATTACAACACGAATCAGATTCTTGTATTTTTGAATATAATTAGAATTGAAAAAAAAAAAAAAAAGAAAAAAGAAAAGTAATAAATGTACGATATTTAAAATTTTTCGAATATTATTATTCATTACCATATTATTCATTTTCTATAACCCCAATAGTTCTATATTATTACTAATTATATGTGTACAACACGAATCAGATTTGCATCCTTGCATTTTTGAATATAATTTGAAATGAAAAAAAAAAAAGTAATAAATGTACGATATTTAAAATTTTTCGAATATTATTATTCGTTACCATAGTATTCATTATCTATAGCGAATCAGATTTGCATTCTTGCATTTTTGAATATAATTAGAAATAAAAAAAAAGAAAAAAAAAATTAATAAATGTACGATATTTAAAATTTTTCGAATATTATTATTCGTTACCATATTATTCATTTTCTATAACCCCAATGATTCTATAGTACTATTAATTACACGTGTAGAACGCGAATTAGATTTGCATCCTTGCATTTTTGAATTGAATAATTAGAAATGAAAAAAAAAAGAAAAATAAAAGTAATAAATGTACAATATTTAAAATTTTTCGAATATTATTATTCGTTACCATATTATTCATTTTCTATAATCTCAATGATTCAATACTACTAATTACACATGTAGANNNATGCAAATCAGATTTGCATCCTTGCATTTTTGAGTTGAATAATTAGAAATGA